CTCCTCCTCCTCCTCCTCGTCTCCGTCTCTGTCTCACATGCAGGAAGACAGGTACAGGTGCTCATACACACTGAATGCAAGTTTGACTGCGTTTTGCAAGGTCGCCAGGGCACATGCGCCACCCACCGCCCTGTGCACGCTAAGCCTCGCCATGTCTGTCTGCATGTGTCAGCCTTTATTTTTCTCTGTACAGCAATGTGATGAGGTTCGTAGCCATTCCAAAGCTCGAGAAAAACAAGCAAAACATAACTTGCATAGTAGATGTGTCTTAGATTTGACGCTTGAACAACCTTTCTGCCATCCTGTTAATTTTGGGGGGCATAGTAATAATAAAAATGGGTGAACAGGCCAACTGAGCACCCGAGTAGTTAGAGGAGGCCGAGTGGTCTCACCCCAATTTAACTTCCCTACATCTGCTTCGCGAACAAGCGTCAAAGCTGAAATCTCAGCCTGCTTTTTCCTCTAGGGCGGGCACTGGCAATCGGATGCCCTACAGTGACTCAAGTCCACCAGCTGGCAGCTCCGGCGGTGGAGATTCTGCCCGAGGGGCTCCGAGCCTCCCTGCCCTCGTGGAGGGGAGAGCACAGGCAGGGGCGCGAGGGCGGGAGCGAGTGACTGCGACTGTGACCATGATCGCGACCATGACCGTGAGCGCTGAGGCCGCGACGTCTTCCACATCCACGTCCACCCGCGGGCTGCCTGCGCGGAGGCGTCTGCACCTGGCCCTCGCACGCAAGAGCCCAGCCCGAGTAGTGGGCGCCCAGGACCGAGGACAAGCCTCAAGTCTCCCGACCCCACACCGTCCGGGCCAGCGGCGAGGAGCTGGACCCAACGCTCCAGTGAGGCGGAGCGCAGAATCCTCCGGGGCGGCGCAAGGCCTGGCCCGGGCTCTCTCCAGTCCTAGGGTCCTGCTCTTCCAGAGGGTGGCTTCCTTGGTTCTGTTTCCATGTCTTCCTCTGTGCACATATGTAATATCCCTTTTGGTCAGGCATATGTGGGACCTGCCTGTTTCCATATCTCTTTATATATCATCTGTGGTTCTTGGTAAGATTTTAAAGATCTTAAGAGCAAGAATTATGGCTTCTTAAAAATAATTTATAAATCTTCCTGATACAGCATTGTGCATAAATTAGCCTGAGACATAAATATATCAAATATAAATATGCTAACCCCTCACCATAAGAGTTCCTTATTTACATTTACTTTGTCTCTTTTTTTAAAGATATCACTGAATTTCAAAGAAAGCGCACACACACGACAGCTGCAAACTCCAAAGGGAGCCCGATCACGCTCTTGCCCTCCGTACAGTGCTGTCTTGTGTCTGCGTCCGCACTTCCTGACAGTACGGCTCTGAATATGAAAGGCTGTCACACAAGGCACAGTCACACCAGCACTTCACACGTGTATGCCAATCAGGTGGGTTTCCTGACTGGGGTACATTTGCCACAAGTTTATTCTTTAAAGCCTTTTAAACTTTTTCAATGATAAATATACTGAGAAAAATGGTAGAAGCCAAAGTCCCGGGAGCGCTCTCTTTATTAGCAGCCACCAGCAGGGCGTCAGTGATCCACGACCCAGAGCTGCCCTAGGACAGCAGCTCTCTCTGCCCACGTCTGTTTTCCTTCGCCTTATTTTTTTCTCAGTTAGAAGCAAGGTGCAAGAATGAGCTATCTTCACCCAGCAACCCATAAAACAGAAGTTTCACCCACATGAAGGCACACAGATACATGCAGGAATATGGACATATGTACAGAAGCGTGGACACACGCAGGACGTGGGCAGGCACACACAGAGGAACGTGGACACACACAGGGGTATAGACACACAGTCACAGGGACACACACAGGGAATGTGGACACACACACACGGGAATGCAGACACAGATCAAGCACAAGCATTTGGACACACACACACACACACACACACACACACACACACACACACCACTGCATTTTCCTCCTGTATGGCTCTGATCAAGCTTTTTGTAGGAGCAGGAACATCCACAGATGTCGTACTGAAGGCCCTCTGCATGCTTAGGCTGCTCCGAGACCCAATGTGAGGAAGCCCACGGGGGCCACCTATGAAGACAAGGGACTTGTATTGGTTCTGACAGCCAGGTGGGACACCTGGAAAAGGGACAATGAGCTACAAGGCTGTGGGCCTCAGGTCGTTGGGAAGCAGAAGGCTTCCCATCCTCTCTCTGCCCACTCACCTTGCCCTAAAGCAGGCCTCCCTGTTGGTCACAGATAACTGGGCGCAGATGAGGGCTGCCTGCCTCTTCCTTCCTGACCAGTGACAGACAGAGATTTTTTACCTTAATTTTTAAATGTATTTAGTACAGGGTCTACAGGGTCTCACTACACAGATCGGACTCATAGCAATTCTCCTGTTTTCAGCCTCCCAAGTGCTGGGATTACGGGCATGCACCACCACACACATTCTTGCTTGCCATCACAGTGCGCCCCAAGGGCGAGGCTGGCACGGCAGGCCAGGGGTTGAACCCCAGCCCCTGTGTCTGCCTAAGCAGGCACTTTAATCTGCTGAGCTATCTGGCCAGCCCTCTACAGAGAAGATGTTGGCCCACACCACTAGGCAAGAGTCCCGAGCTCGGTTCTGATTGGGCACCACTAACCACTAGAGGAATGCTGGGAGTTCATTGGCTTAGTAGACCTGAGCTCTCTGAGTGAATACAGAGTGAGATTTCTCTCCGCAGCTTGGATCAATGTTTCTTTACAGGCTGACATGTGGGCTGGGGCAGCACTCAGTCTCAAAGTCAGGGGAAACCAATGTCGCCCAATCCTGTATCTGTCACTCACGAATGGAAGAGGCAGTGGTGCAGGAGGACAGCCACACCTCACTCCCACTGACCCTGCGACGAGAGCAGGTTCCTCTCTCCTGCTGCAGCAGGACTTCGGTTCAGCTCTCTCCCACAGTCTGTTGCCTGAGAATAATATTCATGTGTGTCTTATGCTCAACCGCCTGCCAGCTCTTCCACAGCAAGGACAATGCCTGGCCTGCCCCGGAACCTCCGCACGGTAGAGGACCCAGCACGCGCTAGATGCTGAGTGCCTAAAGAGGTTGGCGGCACAGCTGCAGAGGGGCGCTCAGGAGGAGCACAGGGTTCCCGAGTTATAGGACTGGTCCAGGAGCCAAGAGGCAGACCCATAAATAAAGGGAAGCAGGAAATGATTCCACTGGAAATATATTGGATTTTCTCTTTCTTTTTCTTTCTCTTTTAATCTGTTGAGCACTGAAAAAAACCTCACAACCACTTGCCAGTTTCTTAGCTTCTACAACTTTCTTCCAGGTTGTGTGTACATGGCACCAGCCATAGCCTGCTCCTAGCATCAGCCCCTGGGCCTCAGGCACCTTGCTCAGTGCAGGAATTCACCTCCATTCACCTGTCCACACCGCACCCTGCTGCCCCTCTCAGGCTAGCGTCTGGACACCCTGGTTAATGCCACAGCATCAGAAAATGTTTATTTTAACTCTGTGGCATGACAGGAAAAAAAAAATTCCCAGGAATCATCAGTTGATCTTCATTCTAATTACTGCGCAGGTGTGAGAGAGCAAGTTGGGCCTACCTGCCCTGGAGCCACCTTGGCACCTACAATAAATGAACCTGTTAAATAGCAATAAATGCTCCAAACAGCAGCTGCTTGCTCTGGGAACCGAATCTGCGAGGCTCTTTAGTGATTTTGTCACATTTTCCCATTGAAAACTGGCGGAACTGAGGAGAGCCATGCCTGTGCTCAGGAGTGCGCTGAGCTCACAGCAGGAGCTGCGGCCAGACTGGCAGCAGGAGACGCCTCCCCGCGCCCAGGAGGTGCCCTGCTTGCTGCAGCTGATGTGGAGAGACAGCCAACCTCGTGCTCCAGGATGCGTGACCAGGAGGCAGAAGGGCGTAGAGAATCACAAGGCTTCATGCCACGAAAGGCCAACTTCCAAGTGGGATGACTCTCCAAGGAGTCATACACAGTGGCTATGCGCAAGGTGAAGAAAGGGTCCATCCAGCGCCTCTGGTTGCAAGGCGGGGAGCAGAGAAGGCGGGGCAGCCTTACCCAGCCAGTCCGCAGGCGAGGAGTCCCCGGCAGGGCAAAGCTTATCCCGTCCAAGACGTAGTCACTTAGTCCAGCACCCCTCAGCTCCTTGTTCAAGACACTGCATTAGGTGACAGTCACCCTGCGAACCTTGGTGGGGTCACCAAACAACACTACTGTGTGCGCTCTGATCAAGAACATGCAGTTCTGCAGCTCAACATAGTTCTACTGGAGCCTTTATCAGAACCTCACAACATAAC